CATTACGGTCCAACAACATACTCGGTGTGATTTCTCTTCGTTCAACATTTGTTAAGTTCCATTTTATGGCCCAAAGTCTAGTGTATTATAGTGAATGTTCAGCGCGCACTTGAAGGGACTATGCATTAGGCTACTGTTGGCTGGGCGGGGGGGGAATCTGCTTGTAAGACGGTGTGATTTTAGTGTAAGACTAGACCAGGGTTTCTCAGTCAGGAGGCTCTTTCCTGTTGGGAGACCCCCTGTGCACTGAGGGTGTTTTTCAGCAGCATCTCCAACTTCTACCATTAGATGCCCCTCCCCCAAGTGTGGCAACTGAAACTGTCCCCAGACATGGCTGGGTGTCCCTTAGGAGGTGAGAGCTCCCAGGATAAGAACCACTCAAAGAGAATACGTCAGCGCAGCGGAGAACAACTCTCAGCATCACACGTGAGACTTCCGCTTGTCCAAAGACACCAGTAAGAACAGGAGAAGGCAAGCCACAGACCGAAGGAAAATGCTCCTATCTGACAAAGGATCTGCACACAGAATATACAGAGAATCCCACAGAACAAAAATATGAAGCCAAATAACCCAATTTTTACAATGGGACAGTTGAAAAGTCATGTCACAAAAGAAGATGCACAGAGGGAACGCAAAGCAAAGCTCCAGTGAGATACGCATCACCACCACCGCAGTTAGGACGAAGGACAGCACCGTCCCCACGACATTGTGGGGTTACAGCATGTACGCAGAGCGGGCTGAGCTGTGCACTGGAGACCTGGGCATCCTACCTACACCAGCTTTGTTGCCATGAATAAAAATGGACTGGGTATTTATTGTCCTGTTGTGGGATTTCTGTTTTAGGGGAAAAATCTCTTTTTTGTTCTCTTCAAAAATTTTTAAATGGTTGAAATGTTTCTTTGAGACAAAGCCTCACATGGGAAAATGGGGCCCCATCTGGGCGACCCCCTCCCCTGTCAGCTCCCCGCCCCATGAGACATCTCGACCCAATGCCAGAGGAGAAAATCCAGAACCACTACTCTGCATCCCCCTCCCCACATCCAGGCCTTCTGAGGACAAATAAATGTGATGTTTGTTACCATTGACCAAGTGCTCCTCACGGGCCGGGCACCACTCCAAGCCTATCATGTGGAATATTCAGTAATATTCAGTAAGCTCGACACGTTAAGTCCTGTTACCGGGAGCCAGACTTGGCAGATGCTCACTGAGAGTAGAGACCTGTCTGCAAGGACGCACGGGCTCAGGCAGGGTGCGAACCCAGGCTGGCCCCCCACTCGTGCGCCCCCCAGAATGAACCTCTGTGTGCGCTGTGGGACTCCATCACCTGACACGGGGCCCAGTGTGCACGCAGCGCTGTGTCCACACAGGGGCCTGTTCGCGCCACCCCCTGGGGTCTCTTTCCCAGAGATCCTCTCACTTTCTAAAAATACATTGACTCATGCCCCAAACTCAAGACTTTTCTCAAATTGCCCCTGGGCTCTCCTCTTCGTGGACAAACTTGACAAATTGTTCAGAATGGTCACTTACACTATCATTGTGTCGCCTTTACTGCGATCTGGTTTCTGCCCCGAATCCACCAAAACCATTTCCCCGTGGTATCTGTGACTGCTGATGGCTCGGTCTGGAGCTGCTCCCGCCTCGCTGGCTCCGGGCCGTCTGCAGGTGGCCCTTCCTCTCCCTCCCTTCGGCTCCCCTGGGGTGACCGGTGACCATGCTCCGTGTCCCTCTCTGGCCTCGGGGCTTAGGCCTGTTCCGGCAGCCTGCCCCTCAGACAAACTACCCTGAAGACAAGAAATAGTCACGATTGAGCTCCGGGCTGGACCCTGTGCCCCAAGCAGAAGACACAACAGACACATCTCCTAACCCTTCCCACCGAACCAACGTGGAGAGACGCCTCTGAATTTGGAATGGACACGGTGAGTACGGATTTCCCCTTCATGCAACCTGCAGCACGCTTACCACTCTTCGGAGGCGGCAGAGATAAAGGGCTGGGTTATTTTGTCTGGATTCTTGAGTCTGCTTACAGGAGCTCCATCGCTGAAGGCAGGGCCTGCTTAGGTGTGTACATGGTTCTGTCCGTCTGTCTCCCAGGGTCTGACATCAGGGAGGAGCTTGTGAGCCTGGGATTCAGCCCACAGCCCCATGGCAGCCGCCGGCAGCAAGGGACGCGGGGACTCCTGGAAGCCTCCTCTGCTCCTTTGCTTCTCGCTCCGGCAGCCTTCAAAGCCGGCCTCCACGCTCCCAGGACCGCCCAGCGTGCGCGCCATTTGGAAGAGGAAAAAACTGGAAAAAGTATCTTCGTGTTATTCTGAAAAACTTTTTTGTGGTTTCCTTTTAGTATTCTCTAAGCTACGGCAAATCTGCACATGAAAATCTATTTCTCCCCCTGGCAGCTAGGATCCCAAAGTAGGAACTATCCGTTTGAGGGAATAGCCAAGGGTCTTCGAGGGGATTTCAGAATGAGATGGGTTTCCTAGGACGGTTTCTGCAGAGGAACGGGGGGCTGTCCTGGAGTGAGGGTCCCAGGGCTCCTGGGGTATGCGTTCTATGCAGAAGGCACCTGCCGCCGGCTTCTAACCCCACCTGTGCTCCTGAGTCTCAGGTCCTGATTTTCAGCCTCCAGGTGTGTGATTTATGTGGATAGCTGGCTTTCCATTTATATGATTTATATGGACACAGTGGGATTGTAAAATGCTAAACCGTCACAATAAAAAAAATCTATTAAGCCTAGTGAGGTTGAAGTTGTGTGTCTTTGAACTATTTAAAATATATGGTAATGAAGGACCCTACTTTTGGGGCTCTGCTGCTATGACTCCGCAGCTGTGATCTTGGGGCTAAAAGCCTGAATTCTGGAGCAGACTGCCGTCACAGTCTAGCCCTGCCACACTCTGCGTGAGTCTGCAGAGTGACTCAGTGTCCCATTTGGGCAACGTCGAATGCTTACAGGGGCATCCAGCACAATAGTTGTAGCAAACATTAACCATCATGAGTCAATGTTTAAGAGGAAAAAAAAATGCGTTTAGCTCTCTACAGTGGCAACTGTCCTGTAAGTGGCATGCCCAGCTTTGGAAGAAAGAGATCACAGGGAGTTAGAAAACGTGTCTGAAACACAGCATCACAGACATAGGCTCACTCAGGTGTGAGTGCCATCCAAAAGCCACCAAAAGGGTCATCTACGCTCATTTTGAGGACATCTCCTCACTCACAGGTACCAAGCTGAAACTGTGGAGACAGACACAGACACAGGGGTCTCCTTTAGGGGCTCTCAGACCCTTCACCTGAGATGATGAGGTGGTGGTATTGGAAGGGAGAGCTACTATACTGCAAGGAAATAAGAAAATCGGTACCAACCGGCAGAAATGCAAGGTGTGAAATGAGCCATTTCAAGGAAACAGAAGGAGTGGGGAGATGCAGAAAGTTTGCATTTTTGCAAAGTCAGAAGTGAGGCCAAGAGCCTAAGTCCGGGGTTTTGCCAGAGGCTGCTGGGCTCCCGCTCCCGCACACGGTGCTGGACTAATCACACACAGACACTGGCGGGGGGAGGCCAGCTGCGTGCACGTGCCCCGCGCATGTGTGCAAGCCATCCTGAGCCCCACACGCAGCAGAGTCCCGGGCGAGGTCCAGCTGCGTCGTGCTGCTCCCGTCGACTCCGGCCACGTCCTGCCGCATGCACGACAGGTGGCCGCGCCTGGGGGTTTGCTCACCTGTCTCACTGGCAGTCAGGCCAGGCGCGTGCGGATACAGATCCCCAGCCTGGGATCACACCAGGAGTCCAGGCAGATCCACCACTCCCCGTTAGGTGCCAAAACTAGAACCAGCTGTGTGACAGCTAATTTCTTCCTCTTTTCGTTTTGTTCCGTTTTGAGGGAGGGGAGCTGGAATGTGTTACACACCTGGTTTTAAAACAAAAATTGCCATAATAATAATTTACAATATAAATTGTATTCTACTAATATGTAAAAATAAGTGTTATTAATTTTAGCTGGTTCTAAACACTGACTTTAAATCTGTAATAAATGGGCTCTGCTTAATCAGAACTTAGAGTTAAGCCCAAGTTTCTCTGCTACCCCATTTTTATAGAAAGAAGTAAATCACAGAGAAAACAAATTACATCAGGAAGTTACTTTGAAAAGGAAGGAACAAACTTTAACTGGCTGTGGAGCCAGACTTAGCAACCGAGTATTTCTACACATTTTTACATCCAAGCCCATGCATTGATCCTATTCCGTGTTCCCACTGCGATCCAAACTAGGAGAGAAGCTTCAGTACATCCGGTCTTAAAACTCCCGCTTTTGATCAGATAAAATGAATTTTTACTCTATTATCAAAAGATTGTCCGCAGAACTTGAAACAGAGAATTCAGTGGGCCAGAAGTTTAAGCTAAGTTGACCTTTCTGCCTGCCAAATGCCCTCAGGGTAGAGCATACCCTGAAGGAGTATCAGAGAACATTGGTTTTTAAGGGAGTTTGGAGGAACACGGCCGCCATGATGGTGAGGCAGGGTGGACCTCCCAGCCTGCTCTTTCTATCTGCAGTGCGTGACCTGCACTACTGTGCATGAGTTACAGCTGAAGGCAAGCCTTTTGTTTTTCCTTTTATTTTTCTGAGTGTGTAAAGCTGCCAAAAGCTAACATGACTTTTATGAGATTCTCAGGTTTTTGGCTCTAATTCAGGAGCCACGTCCACTGTTGTGCTGTGTGAGTTATGGTGCTTTCTGGCACCTTTTTGTTAACATGGAATGATCCTAACTTCATTAGAAACACCACAAACAGGTCTCAAAGCAGCTTTGTAAATAGCATCCTCTGTTACTTCTGATGACTCTGCATTTGTAACCGAACCTGCAGAGTGTGTACCTAAGGCCAGGATGTCCACCAAAAGACACACAGTCAGCTGGAAACTTTCCAACGGCCTCTCGGCGCGGGTTGAAATGACCCTCACCTGCTCTGCCCCTTCGTGCATGTTCACAGAACACCTTTTCTCTTCGTTTCTTTTCTCTTTTAGCCAGAGCTACCTGCAAGCTGCAAGCGACGTGCCTGCCAGCCACAGCCTGGACCCCTCGGCCAGCTACAACTCCCCGAAATTCCGCTCCCGGAACCAGAGCTACATGAGAGCCGTCAGCACCCTGAGTCAGGCCAGCTGTGTGAGCCAGGTCGGGAATTCCTTCCCTCCCCTCTCCCTCGGGTCAGATCTCTGAAGCCGTGTCCTCGCAGTGACCAGCTGCTGGGGGCAAGGCCGTGAGCAGATGTGAGGTTCCTGCCTGGAACCGTCTCTCTGAACGCACACCCGGGAACCCTGTAACACTGAGTTCTCGACCACACCTGTGACAACATCCCCCTTACACTGGCCTCCTCTGAGTCAGGGCTCACATCTCAGCCTGCTTGCTGTCTTAGCTCAGGCTGTCTTCCTTTCCCCAGGAGGCTTCCCCAGGGAAACAGGGCCAGGGCAGGGCCGTGACAGCTGGGCTCTGACAGCAGTAGAAACTCGGACGGTCCAATAAGAAGAGCTGAAAGCAATCCGGGGTGCAGAGCTGTGTTTGCCAGGCGCACAGGACGTATTTCTCGGTTCTCTCGCAGCCCCGGTGGGATCCGTGGCCCCGGGGTGAACGGTGGTGTTTGGTGTTTTAATCGGGCGCAGAGGCATCGCTGCCGAGGGCAGGGAGCTCAGCAGGCTTGCCCATCCTGTTTAGAACTGTTCAAAGAGTAGCCAGAGCTAAGTGAGTGGTAGCTGGGGCTTCTAATCACCAAATGCTGTATTCACACACGGGGCAGGTGGCTAATAAATGTTGGCTCTCATTATGTAGAGAGCGGCATAGAGTCAGTACGCGGTTAATGCCAGCCATTATTGTTACTACAGTAATAATAATAGTATTGGTAGTACATAATTCTGAAAAACGCTCCTGGTCACAGGCTAATGCTATGAGCTTTGGGTAGCTGGCCAGGGGTTCAAAGACGCTGAAGACTGTTTTGCCACAGGCTTTAAAATGCCTTATAAAGCAAGAGTCTGTTCATTTTACAGTTTTTTCTCATCAGAAAGTTGCACTCTGGACTTTTTCTACGGAACAATCTGGGTTTTTCCTGTTCCACAACTGAAGAAAGACATGGCCTCTTTCATCAACTCAGATGCTATTTTTCTTTAAAAACAGGGTTAGGTTTCCAGCTACAGCAAAGAGAATTGCAGGGACTCTTTCCCCCGCAAGACAAGGAAAGGACTATTCCTGACTCTGCTCACGAGGGGCCGTCCTGCACTGAACCTCAGCCCCGGGCAAACCGGGGCACTGGCTCACGCTGTGGCCCGACTTCAAATACCCCTGCAAATAATAATAAAAACAGCAATAGCAAAACTATAGATGGTCAGCAACTAGATTACTATTATTATCTAATTAATCGGGGAAACATCCCATTTCAGCATAAACTCCAAGATGACGTTAGGAATTACTAACTGAACAGAGCACGTGCAGAGACGCCCTCAGCCTCGCTCCCCCCGCCTCCAGGAGAAGAACCTTCACGGCAGGCTTCTCCTGAGATGCCAGCTTCCCTTCCGGTTACAACACCTCCTTTGCCAAAATACAACTTTAGAGTCAGACGTGGCCCCGTCAGGGTCTGCAGCAGAGTGCAAGGTGATTTCACCGCAGACGGGGTGACTCCTGCAGGCTTTGCTTTCTTTCTCTTTCTTTATTTGAGTTGAGTTGACCCCCGATGTTGCCTTAGATCCAGGTGCACAGCAGTGATTGGACCCCGTTATGCGTCATGCTCACCCCGGTGTACTGCATCTGTGCCGTTCCATCAGCGGTTCCCGCTGTTACAATGTAACGGACCTTCCTGCGCCTTCCATTCCCCTGACTCGTTCATTCCATTACCAGAAGCCTGCACCTCCCCCTCCCCTCTCCCATTTCGCCCATGCCCTCATCCCTCTCCTGGAAACCGACAGTTTGTCCTCTGTGTTTGTGCGTCTGAGCCTGCTTTCCATTTGTTCTCATTTGCGCTCAACAAACAGGTTCCCCTGAATGCACAGCACACCTCTCCAGATGCTCTCGTGAAAGCCACCAGCTTCCCTAGTTGCAGAAACATAAGCCATGCACTACCCTCTACACCATGTTTTTAGTGAACCCAAGCTGGGATTTCCAAAAATACGTCAGTAAAAATAACATGTCCCCGCACCTTTTTCTATCTGAAAAGATCCGTCATTGTAAATAAGAGCAATAGCACACAAGCTGGATGTTTGGGGGTTTTACTTATTTTGATGACTTTGACATTTGGGATTCTAAGCCATTCCGATTGCTAAGTTCTATGATAGGACTTCACATCAAACTCAATTTTTAATTCTGAAAAAAAAAATTGTTACTTAAAATAACCTTGGTACCCTGACAGTGGATGGGACCGTTTCACCCCTGGAAACAAATGTGTAGTAATCCCATATCAAACCCTGGCCGGTGTGATCCACCAATCCGAGGAGGAGAAGGATGCAGTTTCCAGTAATGGGGCACAGTGCATTTGGGGTGATGCCCCTGGGAACCCCTCAGTGTCCCTGAGATACTTGAATTTGTGGCTAAAGCTGTTGGGAGTTCACTCTTTAATACTCAATGTTCAGTGAAATGAAAAGTGTAACCGAGTGCTTGTGAAACTGGCTTGTCTGTAAGCCGTGCTGTGGTTTGAACTTGAGTCGCTGGACTCAGGTCTGGCCTCTCTGAGCTCATGAACCTGGGACGAGTCACGTGGGTGTGTGCAGTGTGTGGGCTGATGCCGTGGGAATGCCAGCAGGGAGCGTCTAGGACTGCAATGGTGCACGGTGCATGGTGCACGGCTCGTTACACCTTCCCAGTGACCAGCCTGAGTGGTGGGATTTATCTTTAACCATACAGTTTCTTCCCTGGAGGAATCTCCTGGAAAATGCTAGAAAAGCGCATTGCTGTTGCTTGTGCGGGACCGTGGACGTGGCATGGAGACAGCCTTGGTGCATTCAGCCCATGTGTCTGAGCTCTCTGGGCATCTCCTTTGTTGCTGACCTTCCCTGAGCTCTCTGGGATGCACCAGCTTGCCGGTTCATCTGACAGGACCCCGAACGGTGCTCTAACTCCCAGAATAGTGCTCCCTACCGTTTCAGAGAACACAGTGGACTTTGTTCTGGGTGGCACTGCCCCCCCCCACATACACACACTTCAGTGCTCTGCGTTAATGTCTGTCTAGCTAAGTCTATTCCGTAGATGGAAGAATTCCCACGTTTTTCATATCCTGGAGAGGCACTTAGAGCAAGACTGTAAGACCATCTAATCTTCCATCATTCGATAAATAATGGTGTGACAGTGGTGTGGCCTGTGTGTCCCCATCCCTGTGATGGGCTCTGCCAGTTACTGTCACCCAGGGCCACCCAGCAGGGTGTGACCACTGTGGGTTCCTGGCAGACCTGCCCTCAGCCAAGTGCCCTGGAGCTCCTTCCCAGCAGGACGCCCGGCAGCAAGGGAGGAACCGGGTCTGCAGATGGTCGCCCATCTGACGGCAGGAGTGGAGCAGATTCATGTCTGTGCCTGTCACCCACGGTCACCCACAGGGATGAGCACCCCAGCCACCCGCCCGTCCCCACCACACTGAGCAGCCTCCTTCCCTGTGTCACCTTGTCACATTCCCACACCCCACGTGTGGAGGGCCAGTGTCCCACCCCAGAGGGGTCACAGAGCCACGCAGACGCAAGCTGCCTACACGTACGGGTGCTGCTGGGGTCAGACACTCCTTATGCGCCCCAGCCCTCTCCGGGCAAGCTGCGGGGACACAGCCTTACTGTGTCCCAGGGCGTGAAGAGGCCGGCAGGGCTGGGTCCCCAGACCTCCCCCTGGCTCCTCTCCGTGGGAGGGACATGGAGGCCTGGACAGAAGGCGCACACCTGGGGCCACTGGGGAGGCGTGGCCGAGCTGCTGTAGTGCACAGGCACCCCCACCATGAGGGGAATCTCTGTATCCCTGTGTTCTCTTGCTTGGGACAGCTCCCAGCTCAGCCAGCCCAGCCTCCCGAGGTCACCGGAGCTGAGTCTCTGCATTTACTTTGTTTCCATTCATCCACGGTTGGGATAATTCTGAAAACCCGCCCCGTTTCCTGGAGCCGGTGGTATGGTGCTGGGGGTCTGGAGCTGCATGGATGGTGGGACCCTCTGCGTCCTGGCCTTCCCATAGCTTCTGACCGGGCCCGCTGTCCCACGGTCCCCTTTTTTCTCTTTCTCTTTCTCTTTCTCTCTCTTTCTGTTTAAAAAGCCATTCAGGCACGGTCATAGCCTCCTTCTATCAGGCATCTGTTCTAAAAAAATTGTGGTAAAATATCCATAACAAAATTTCCCGTCTTAACCATTTTTAAGTGCGCAGATCAGTGGTGCTGTGCAGGCGTCCCCCCCCCCATGTGTCCCCAGAACTCTGGCAGAACTCCAGCTCTGTCCCCATGGAACACGAGCCCCCTGCCCCCAGCCCCGGGCGCCACCATCTCGGCATCTCTGCGGAAGTGACTCCTCCAGGGACCTCACACGAGTAGAACCGCACAGTGTCTTTCCTTATCTGGCTGGCTTCTTTCCCTCAGCACCCTGCCCTCCAGGTCCCTTCCATCAGAGCAGGTGTCAGACCCTCCTCCCTGGGCAGGGTGGAGTAATTGTCCACCCCGTGAACGCAGGTCTGCAAATAGCGGTTCTGGTCCCTGCTTTGTTCGTAGGGATCGATACCCAGACGTGGCATGCCAGGTCCTGGGGTACTTCTTTTCATTTCTGGAGGACCCGCCACCTTCCTTCCGCAGCGGCCACACCAGTGTCCATTCCCACCGGCCACACGCCAGGCCCTGGTCGCCGTGGCCGTGCCCCGCCATGCCTGCTCCGGAGCGCCATCTGTCGCGACCTCTGCCACACGCAGGACAATCACCCTGTCACCCCCCATTTCCCTGACTTTGGTTCCTTGGTGCCCACATTCTCCAGAAGCAAGTCAAGCCATGTTTCTGAGTTTATGGTTCATGAAAGAAGATGGGGGAAGCTTCAGAGGACACTGATTGTTGCCATAACTTTGACACCATTGGCTTAACATCCTCCTGAGATTTCCAGGGGCTGAGCAGTGGTTTGATTCCCACTGTAAAATTATACCCGCGTTTCCAAATCTCCTTCAGGCTCAGTGAACACATCAGCTCCCAGAGAGCAGGTCATTTCGGTTCCTCTCTGGACCAAAATTTGAGATTCTTCTCAACTACTTACTATTTGCTTGGGAGAAACAAGGCACGTTCCCATCTCGAACCTCACCGATGTGTTTGTGTAGCTGTGTGTGCCAGCCAAGTGTCCTTACTGAAATTTTAGTCTTTTGCTTGTAGAATGGTTTTCTCCTTCAGGAGCGAGTTCCTGCACCCATGGTGGGTTTGAGCAAGGATTTTCACTAAATCCTGCAACCAGATGCAAACCACATCACTCAGATTTTGGCCTTTGCAGGCTACCTAACATGGATCTTTGACATAAATGACATGAAATGATCTGAGGATTTTTGATGGAATTCCCCATGAGGGAATACTTGGAGCGAAAGAAGTTTGTCATCGAAAATGCAGTGTTTCAGACCAGCATGCGTGCTTGTGATGTGCTCCACTCTCTGGGGAGCTGGGGCTGTCCTGGTGGGAGTGCCGTGGGCTGTCCGTCCCTCTCCAACTTCAGGAACCCGTGAGCCATTCAGACAGACCCTCTCATCCGTAATTTCCCTCTGGTCCTTTCGGCCAGCACTACCCATAGATCCTCCCCCTTACGCTGAGGGTCTTTGTGGCCCTGGGCACGGGCCTCCAGCGTCTCTACCACCAGAGGCTGGCATCGGCGCACTCAGATTTGCCGAGTGAAAGGAGCCATTATTCTAGCGTGTCCAGAACTCCGGGTGACGCCAGAGAAGGCCGCATTCAGGTCTGCAATTAGAGACTTAAGGAAAAATCATGTTTGTTTTCCTGTCAGAGGGGAGATCGGATTCTTTCACCTGCTTTTTCTCTGTGAACGGTCAGAGGAAAATGGCAAATCTGGTGTTTCAAACCACACTTGTTTGTAACTGTCGGTCAGCGTCACCCAGGGTGTGCAGGAAGCTGTGGGTGACACATTTGGATGTGGATGCGGCTGGTGCAGGAATGTGACAGGGACGAGATGCTGGCCGGGCTCCATTGCGGTGGGGTGGGCTTCGTGGGAGAAGCCACCCGGTAACTGGGACAGTTTTCTCAGGGTCTGCCTGGGCTCCTCCCAAAGCCCAGGGCCGGAGGGCTGGGACTGGGGATGATCTAGAGAAACGGTGGAGACCACAGGAGCTGCTCCCTCCACCCTACGCCTCCTTCCTCCATGCGGAGCCTGTGCTTACCTTCACAGCCTCGCGTGAGCCTTGGCCCTTGCCCATCAGCTTCTCCAGCAAGTGTCCCATATATGCGCACCTGTTAACCCACACAGGGTTCACCAAGGGGCATACCCAACCTGTGGGAGTAGCAGGGGAGGGCTCCTTCATCAACGTCGCATGCAGCCTAACACATGAACCCCGCCCCCCCCGCCGGAGAGCCATGGACCTCTGCCCACGACCCCGTGAGCCTCCGGTCCTCAGGCCGGTGAGAGGCTGAGCAGTTTCAACTTCTCATTCCTAAAATTCTCGTCTCTCCTCCAACCCCGTTCTCTCCAATGGGGCTTTAGTACTGCATTTCACTTCCCTGGATTCCCATTTAAAACCTCTAGATTCGGCTCATGGGAAATGCATGAGTATCACCCCCTGGAAGCCTCAGGTAAAGTGTGTCCCCGGCCAGTGTCACTGACCCCACACAAAGGCCCTCCAGCCAACCCGACGGTCGGGCCCGTGTGTGCTCGTGATCCCGCTCCTGCCCGAAGCCTTGAGATTTATTTTAATGCATTTGGAACTTGCAGGTTCCCAGGGTGACTCTATACCTGGAAATTAAATTGCAGGCTTGTGAATAGTTCCTTTCCCTGCTAAATGATCAAAGGAGGCGAGTCTGCTCCTGTCCCGGGCGGGACGGCCCTAGACCTGGGATGTACGGGGTGCAGCCTGTCGACATGGACAGAAACCCCACCGGCCAGATGTGTGGTGGGTTTCCATGACGACACACAGAAGCAGACTGAATGTGTGTTCGTGTGTGTGGCCTCCACATCTCGACCCGGCCGCTGTAAGCAGCCTGGAAAGGTAACAGAGGCACTGGGAACACCCAGAGCAGGGACTGGTGTCTGAACGCTCAGCTCATCTGCACACGGCGTCTACTAAACCTTGCGGTCACGGTCACCATCCTGTCAGGCTTTCCGTGGGCTCCACAGAATTTCAGGAGCATCTTGGAATTGATGGTTTTTCTTAGTGTTTGGTAAGAAATAACCCGGGAAGACCTTCCCCAAGCCTAACCAGTCCCCAAGGCCAATCTCACATGAACGCCGCTGGAAAGACAGACCGTGTGTGAGGGTGGGGCTGAATTTTGTTCTCACTTGTTCTTTGGGGACACGGCCGCGGTCGCCCTGGCCGGGTCTCACCACCGACTGTGTGCATTGTTGTTCCAGATGAGCGAGGCGGAGATGAACGGGCAGTTCGAGTCGGTGTGTGAGTCCGTCTTTAGTGAAGTTGAATCCCAGGCAATGGACGCTCTGGACCTCCCCGGATGCTTCCGAACGAGGAGCCACAGTTACCTTAGAGCCATCCAAGCCGGCTACTCCCAGGATGATGAATGTATTCCGGTCATGATGCCCTCCAACACCACCTCAACCATCCGATCCACAGCAGGTAAAGGAGCCCTTTCTGACCTTCCTAGAGAGGAACCCACAGGCGAGCGCGGGGTCCTCCTCCCAGAGGAGCGCATGCTCCTTCACCGCAGGTGAAATACATTCTCCAAATGTTTGGTACATTTGCCAAATTGCACTTGGCACATTGTCATATTTGCAGCAGGGTTTTGAAACATTTCTTTTATAGCTAATCTTTCTTTTTCTTAGGATGCGATCTCTTAGTATCAAGATTCTTGAAAAGAATCAAGTATAACTTCTGTAAAGTTTTCTAGAGGAAACAAGTTTAAGTGCGGACATTTGGACAGTGATTGTGCTTTAAATACCGAAGTTCACTAGATCGCGGTCAAACCTGAGCCTTGTGCCCTGACTCCCGGGCTCCCTCCTCGCTGCGTCCAGTATGAGCGTCTGCTGCTTGCTGGCAGGTCCGTAAACATGATTCATTGCTCTGAGCAAATCCATCCTTCTTGTAGATTCACTAATCATCCTTGGGCTCTGCAGATTCAATGTCACAGTTTGCTTGCATTCTTATGGAAAACCATATCCACCCCTTTGAAAATTTACCACCTAAACCAAGTATCAGTGTGGGAGAGCTCACTGCTCTATTGCTGTTTATGTAACACAATGAATATGCACGGCCTGGAGAAGCCATGAAACATAGCAAAAGCCATAAACACGCTCTCCATTCTCTGTACAAAGGCCAAGCCGAGAAACTCAGAGAGCAGCCGCGTTGAGGAGCGAGGTCCTCTGACTCCTGGCAGATGGGGAAGCTGCCAGCACATCAGGGCAAGGAAGGGACCCCGTCTGAGAAAAGAGCGAGGATGTTGTCGAGTGAACAAGCGTGGCACCGGAGTGGGGGCGGGGCGGGGAGCGCAGGAAGGGGGTCTCTCCGCCCCATCGGCAGCCGCAAGCCTGCTGTCGGGCACTTCGGGCGGAGCGCATGTGGTGGGAGAGCCTGGAGATGGGAGAGGATGAACTGTGTTCAGGCCTCGTTCCATGACTCCAGCCCTGCAAGATCGCAGGCTTGTTAACTTTCTGGCTCTCGGTGTTCAGAAGAAGCGGTAGCTGTGAATGCTTTCTCCAGTAAGCCTAGGGATTAGTTTTCGGAGGGCGTGTGGGTCCTCGGCGATCTTTTTGTGTGGCTCTGTGGCACCCACGTGGGGGGTTGTTGACACGACTTGACCATGAAGCCTCGGGGTGTCCAGAAGAAGTGGACTGGGCCATGGCTGCTGTGTTCCCACAGCACGGCTCCGCGGTGATGCGGGGGCAGCGCCACGGACAGGCTGCACGGACCTCAGCAGGGCTGTGCCTGTTGCCGAGGTGCAATACGGTGGACTTTGTGGGCGGAGCTGAGCCTCTGGCCGTTGTCGTACGTGTCCCAGATCTCAGGAAGTCCCTGACTCCCCTCGGCGAAGTCAGGGACCACCTCTCCCGCTCTGCCCTTCGTGGAAAATGACCGAATTACAAACTTAGGGAAGTAGTGAGCTTTACAACCGTTGCACCTTAAAAAACACACTTTTAGAGATCTTTGCTGATAGCTTCACCAATATTTGTCGAATGTCTCTTATGAGCAAGTGACAATTAAGCACTTTCATGGTCTTCAGAAATGCCTTGAAATAATAATTACCTGGTAGAAAATGACTTTATTATGTTTAGAGCTGTCATTATGGGGAAAATAAAAATAAAACTGTTTTCATAGAGATAATGCGAGAACCAGTGCAGAACTCAGACTAAAATTCTAATTTATGTACATGTCATTTTCCCAAGTACATTGTTGTGTTCCCAAAATGTATGCACCTGATAAATCACAAAACATGCTTTTATTCAGTGTTTCTCCAGGATCTGGGGCCGGTTACAGAGTCAACGTTGCCCCCAAGGCTGAGGGCATGTGGGGCATGCCAGGGTCAGGGAAGGGTCTGAGCATTGGGTTAAGAGAAGAAACAAAAACCGCGAGGGGAGATTTCTAGCACAAAATACCACTTTGAAGAAAGGGGAGTGCGGAGGACTCACTCATTCCATTTTCTGCTTTACCGCAAGCATTGCATGTATTTATCATCTTTCTCTCCTCCGTAGAATTGAGAGGGTATGCAACAATTGTCCATTTAATCAGATTGAAAACAATAGCTAAGAAATGAAAAGTCCCTATCTGGAAAAACACAGAAAAACAAATGTAGGGGGGAGAAACTATCCAACTACACAGGATGTAAATGCCCACTGACCTTCCAATTTGACTCGGGGCTTCCTGTCAGTGAGGCAGAATGGGTCGTCAATATTTCTGTATTAACATATTTAGAAGATCTATACCAACGTTAACTTCTAATAGCTATCCCCTGTGGTTGGGTGTGTGTGAAGAGAGATTATTTTGACAAATTGATTTTCTTTAATGGTTCTACAACTATCTCTTGAAAATAATTCCAAAAAAAAACCTATTTTCAAATTTATTCACAGCGATTATTTGGAAGCCTAAGATTTATTTAAATATGTTCCTTTTTGCATGCTTGAAAAGTAGAAGTTGGTGTAATTAGGTTGTTGCCCCTTGAACAAATGCAAACATGTAATTTTAATATGCATCTAGTAATAATGAAATATCCAATAGAGGCATGAAAGTCTATTAAGAATGCTAAAATACATGGTAGGCATTCTGTTTTAAACACCAACAAATTGATGGCGCCAGTGTGTGTTGCTTGTTTGGGGGGGACTGGAGGTCAGCTGCGTTTGACCCTGAAGGGCACGTGGAGATACGGCCAGGAACTGTCTTCTGCTCAGCTCTCCGGGGAACTCACATGGGGCTTGCACACACGCTCAGCAGGGCGGCCACCAGCCACAGACATTTGCCCTACACTGTGTCTTTCATTATGGAAAACACTGCATATTGATTAGTGTCCTCTCCTTAAATGAAGTGGTTTTGAAAACCTCTAACTTTCATTTCACACATGGGTTCTTTCTCGTCTGTGAAATGATTTCTCAGAGAGATTTACTTGTCTAAATATGCATTTCACCCGATCTTTCTAGGGAGAGAATGTTATTGATACCGTGGAGGAAAATACTATAAAATTAGATTATAATGATTTTTCTTTGGGTCAAAAGTTTTTTCAACAAATGTCACAACTGATTCTAGAAGTCATTAAAACAAAGGGAAAATCCATGCAAAGCATGACAGTGGAAACAACCATAAATTTATTTTTATTTGATTGTTTATAGCTCAATAGTAACTTGTCCCTCGGGGGTACATCATAATTCCATTTTCCAGGAGTGCTTCGGGCCTCTAGAGTTCGACTGCCCTCCTCAGCCCCCTGCCACAACTCGGTCCGCTTCTGTCCCCGCGCCCCTTTCTCTGACTTCGGGATGACATCGGGCCCCCACTCAACCCCGGGATGGCTCCCGTGTCTGGATCCTGAACCTAATCACACTTGCAAAGTGCCTTCCGCCAGGGAAGGTGACACAGGGCCCAGAGATGAGAACGTGTACATCTGGGGCTGTGGGCATTCTTCTGTCTACCGTCAGAGGATCGTTATGTAGTGACAGTAAATCCTGCAAATATCGTAGTAAATACTGGCTGAGGGCCTGGGGGAAGGGTTGGGTGGATGAGGTCTTCTCGGACACCGAGGCTGGAGTAGATATCGATGTCCTCTCGGTCAGACAGAAGCCTGGGGAACCCATCGCCCTGCTGGGCACGTGAAGCTAATCCTTGTTGTGAACCCAAACTCCTCCAGCTGACGGGAAACCAAACCCCGAGGGGGCTGCTGGACAGGGGGCTCGTGAGAAGCCCTCAGCTGTGGCGAGGTGACGTGGAGGCTCTCTCCTCCCCACTCCCCCCAGGATCAGACTTCCTGCCAAAGGCACGTCTCTGACTGTGTGGCCACAGAAATCTGTGGCATCTGAAGTTTAGGAGCAAGTGCCAACCACAAGGACGTTCGCCTCCTTTACCAGGCTGACTGAGGCGGTCACTAAGGCCTTTGGAGGTCACACGGTGTCTCTGCAGAGTCTTACGTGGGGCTTCTGCTTTGCATGTGGACTTGAGTTTCAGAAGAAGTCAAGATACACAGGCTGGACATCGAAAAGTTGGGGTGTTGTCTGTGTGATAGGAATTGCCTGATTTCCTTGGACGACAATCAAAGAATCATCTATTACTTTATCCACATATGCCCTCGACCTTCCAGGTAAACAAGCAAAAGACAGCCTCAGCCCTCAGGACCAGGGAGCAAAACTGTGCAGTTACCTGAACACAGAGGAGGGGACCTATATTTACCGGGCAGGCCATGGACGAGCCCCAAGACTGCCACATGCTCTCTCCTCCAAAGGCACCTGCGTTCCAGTAATCCCTGCCCCTCCCACAGAAACACGCCCCCATGCACTTTCGTGGGGTGGGACTGCAGAGTGACCCGCAGTTGTGGGCTCCGTGTCTGCTCCATCACTGAACTCGTCAAGGGGCTGAGTCCTGGTAGGACAAAGACGAGACCACATACCCCAGACTCACAGTCCAGGATTCTTACACTTTATGACTGTCTGCGGCTGACGCTATCCCTCCATCTCCTACCTGAGATACAGGCATGACTAGAGGATGCAGGTGCATGGCTTTTGGGTCAGAGATCCACACAGGAAATTCCTGTCCTGTCTTCGTGGGAACAGCTAGCAATTGTCACTGGTCACTTAGCCCCCTGTGATCTAAATAACCAGTGAGTAAACAAATCAGTGAATCAGTCAAGCAGAACTCGAGGTACCACAGAGGTCCCCCAACCGTGGACACTGCCTCCCACGCCCCGGCGACCAGCCCACGCCCTCCACGGCTTGCCCACTGCACACCAGTGGCATGCCCCCTGGACCTCTGCTCAGCCTTCTGACGGGGCCCCCACGGCACTTCCCACCCTCTCTCCACCCCACCCTCCAACTCCTCTGATGTTCTTTCTAAAAATATAGCCCCCCAAATACATAGGATGGAGTTAAATATGATAAAAAATAGAGCCTAGCCCCAGCATGCCCTCCTGGCAGCCTCTCTTGGTTTCC